GCGCCCGGATGCTGGCTGTGCTGGGTGTGCCCGAGCAAACTCCTGCTCTCCTGAGGTAAGTGGGTTGAAGAAAAAACACAACCGCTGAGATTGGCCCAGATTCTGCTCTGACGGTCAGCCTTGGTCCTGGGGGAGCTTCTCAGGGCAGTTTTAGCTCCTCTCAGCTTTCATATGAAAAGGAGAAAGAAGACATAATTCAGAAATTCGTGTACAGCCTCGTAACTGTCACAGGAAACTGCTGCAAATGACCGTGACATTATATTGTATTTTCATATCTCTTTCTTCCTTTTGTTTTTTCATTATGCGACAAAAAACAGTGATGTTTATCATCTAAATATTAAGCTTTTAGATGCTGGTATTTAATACATGTTACTTAGGGCACCTACCTCAAAAATAAATAAACAAACAAACAAACAAACTCCAAATAACTTTTTAAACAAACCATGCAGGTTGACAAGTTGCCACAGAAGATTTTATGAAAAAAACAAGATTTGCTGTGAATGGGAAGTACTCTTTTTCAATTAAATTTTAAACACACTTAGCAAATATGCCTGTTTCCTCCAGGTGGGAGGTTTGTTTCAGGTTTCCACATGCTGCCTAAGAGGGCTTTAAGTATGCCCAAAACTCCCCTGAGAGAGCAGGAGATCGTAATGTGGAATATTAACTCTTCTGCCTGTTATAACCATAAAGCCAGGCCTACCTCTCTCCCAGGGGCATCAGAATAGCTTTTGTGTGCTGCTCGGAAAGGCCTTGGAATCCAGAAACGAAGAAAAGTGAAACAACCCAATGTCCTGCCAAAGAGATAAGATAGTGAGTCCGAAGACCTAAAGAAACAGAGTTTTAAGTGACTGGTTTTTAAAAAACAATTCAAGTACAGCCACACACTGCTTTGCGCCAGCCCTCACGTGGCCACGTGCTAGTTAGGTATCCTTGGGCAAATATTTGACCTCTTCTTCCTCAATTTCCCTACTTGTAAAATGGGCATAATAATCGTAATGATTTCATAAGCTTTCACTGGCATGTGTGAGAATTTAGTAAAAAAAAATCCACATAAAATCCTTGGCGTGGTGCTTGACGCTTGTTTAGAACTCAACAAATAGTTAGCTATTACTTTTTAAAATAATAACAACTAATGATATAATAAATTATTAACTTATAGTAAATACTCTTATATTACAGCCTAGTCCCATTCTTTTCTCCTTCTCCAATTTAGGCTTCACCTTAAGGCCAAACATATTGTAGTGGCTTCATTCCTATTTATTTCAACTTGATGTCAGGCCTTCCCAATCACCTAGGTTGCTTATAAAGGTCCAATGCCTGTGTCTCATCTCCAAGATTCTGACTTAATTGATTTTGGTGTGGCCTGGGCTTTAGAAGGTTTGGAAGCTCCTGCAGGTGACTCTAATGTACAGCCAAGTTTGGAAACCAGCACTTTTCGGTGTTGTCCTGCTCAAAGAGGCACACAGATGTGTATAGTTTAAATCAAATTAAAATGGCATGTCTTCTGAGCTAATAATGTGACTCATTTTGCTGCATTAGCCATTCAAACCAGCCAATCAATCTGACTTATTTTTTCACTGAATTCATAGGTTTTGACTGATTTGACCAATTAATTCAGTAAAAAGTTTGATTCATTATAATTATATGGTCATAGCCTCAAGTAAATTGAATTTTCTGGAAACCAGCTATGATTGAGTGGATGTTTGGAACCTTTTAGATGATACATTACCATAGAAGTTCACATTATTTAATTCCATTCTATACATTGATAAGAAACTGGATATTAAATAAAAATGCTGATAGCTCTGGATTGATTTAACCAATTCATTTAATAAAAATTTGATTTTTCAAACTCTCGTAGCCATAGCCTAAAGAAAATTGGATTTGTTGGGGATGACCTAGGATTTTAAGTGTAATTTAGAATATAAATCACTACAGAAGTACACATTATTTAATTCCATCCTGCACATTTGCTAACCAACTGGATGTTAAATCAAAATGCTGATAGTTGGAGTAAGATTAATGTTGTCTCATCCCTTTGATCTCGTCCTGGGGGCCTTTGAAGGCTTCTAGGTTGCTATTGGTTTTGCACACTGCTGCCTATTATTAACCTCTTTAAAAAATTAATGAGCGTGTTGATCCACTTAGCACTTTGGTCATACTGATCCATCAGATGAATCATGAGTGAGGTAGCATTCACAGCTTCTATCAACATCCTGTCAACATTTTCCGTTACAGGCACCAAATGCTACATTCGAAAAAGTCCCTGAACCTAGAAGTTTTGCATCTGGCTGTGAACCTGTGGCATCATGATCTCTGGAACTAGCTGGGCAGACCAAACCTCTCTGGAATATACCCACAGTTGGACAAAACCAAATTCAACAACCACTTGTCTCTAAGCATTTATATTGAAAATAGAAAACAATTGAGTTAAAAAATCAGGCAATGTGTTGTATATGGACTACTTCTCCCACTGTGGAACAAGTTATTTGTTTGTGAGAGTATTTATTTGTAGGATGCACAGGAATGATGTCACTAGAAATTGGAGGACATAAGAAAAGTCTTTTAAAATTTCTTTTCTGATAGTTTTATGAAAAAGAGAATTTTGGCTAAAGAATGAATAAAAAAGTTCATAGTGGTCAAAGGGGTAGGAACGGTATGAAAATTTAGTAAGTGCTTATTATGTGCTGGACTCTTTCTGTACATAATCTCCTTTAACCTTTATAACAGCTCCTCAGATTGTATCAGTCCCAATTCATGGATAGGGTTATTGAAGTTCGGAGAGATTAGTTAACTTGCTCAAAACTGCACAGCATGAAGTCACAAAAATACATTTGAACCCAAGTCTGTCTGTTCCAGACCCCACCCTGTATGTCAGGGTGACTGATGCTCCTGGTTTACCCAGGACTGATTTCCCAGAACATGGAACTCAGTTTTAAAGTCATGATAGTCCCTGGAAAACCAGAACAAGTTGGCTACTATACTTGGTGACCAGAGGTTACTACTCCCTTAGCCAGCCAGCCAGATTTTAGGCCCTACATCTGCCCCTGGAGGGGAAGCACACATGGGAGGCCCAGCTCAGCTCACTCCCTCATTTCAGAAAATATATATCCAACCAGATTACATTTCTAAACTTTTTTTTAAAGATTTGTTTGTTTATTCATTCATTCATTCATTCATGAGCGATACAGAGGGAGAGGCAGAGACACAGGCAGAGGGAGAAGCAGGCTCCCCATGGGAAGCCCGATGCTGGACTTGATCCCAGGACCCCAGGATCACAATCTGAGCCAAAGGCAGACGCTCCACCACTGAGCCTCCCAGGTGCCCCTACATTTCCAAGTTAATGGCACTTCTAGACAAATTACTGTATCCTTAGATCGTGTAGGTGAAGGATCAGCAAATGTTCCCCCTAAAAAGCCTTTTTTTAATTTTGTGGGTCACAGAATCTCTGTCACAACCACTCAACTCTGCCATGGTAATGGAAAGCATCCACAGACAACACAAAAACGAACAGATAGGGCTGTGTTCCAAGAAAATACTAGTTACCAAAACCAGAGCTGGGCTGGATCTGGCCTGTGGCTAAATTATCAAACCCTGACATAGATTATTTGTAAAGAATCCTCTGTGTAGATAATGCAGTTTTGAAGAATTATTATTTCTGGAAGTTACTTTAATTGGGGTAGGGCCGGCAGGCTGTTGGGAGCTGTCTTTGGATCAACCTATTTGGAGTTAGCTGTGCTTGTTTGGGGGCTATCAAATTTGACTTTTCTGATCCTTCCCCAAGAGCACTTAGTGTGTGTCTGTGTGAAGGAGCAGCATGGCATCTCCCATCACAAATGTATATCCCTTCCTTGTCACATTCATTTTTCTCTTGCCTTTTCAGATTTTACTTCCAAACACCATTTAAAAAGTCATTCCTGGGGCACCTGCGTGGCTCAGTCGGTTAAGCATCTGCCTTTGGCTCAGGTCAGGATCCCAGGGTCCTGGGATGAAGCCCCGCATTGGGTTTCCCGGTCACCAGGGAGTCTGCTTCTCCCTCTCCCTCTGTGCATGTGCTCTCTCTCTCTCTCTCTCTTAAATAAACAAACAAATAATAAATCTTTTTTAAAAATAAAGTCATTTCTATTAGCACTCTATGTAAACTTCAGATATACTCATTTGCTTCAATATAGCATTTTCTTTTTTAATGTGTGCAGGGAAAATACTGAAGTTGTTCTATACTGAAAAGCAAATACCACTTTATCACCAGAGCAGCCTCTACCAACCCAACATTCATTGTTGTGTGCCTTCTCTGCTCACAGGATCCTCACAGAGCAGTCAGTCGCCTGCAAGTGTGAAGTCACAAAAACAGGATTTGAGGGGCCCCTCAAGACCTCATGCCCTAAACACAGATCTGGTCCAAAGAGGAGAAGTGTATAACCAACATATTCTCAAATGTGAAAGGAATAGCGGGCATGGCTTGAGGACGCAGGTGGGGTGGGGAGGAGGTGTAAATCTGGGGGGCAAATAGCAACAGGTGAGGTTTGGGCTCGGGATTAGCCAGGCAGAGAGGCGGCTGATACATAGATTAGCTCAGGAAGAGAAGAAGCAGGTGCTCAGCCTTTGGAGACAGTGATGGGTCATTAGGAGGATGTAATTGTTAAAGCAAGCAGAGGCCAACTGTGCATTCTCAAGCAGGAGGGGATCCACGGACAGTGATGAGGTGGACACCACGGGCAGGGGGTCCTACTGGTGTTGAAGTTAGGAGACTGGGGCAGAGTGTGGCAGCTGAAATGGACGGTAAGGGACGGGGTCCAAAAAACCTCCCCAGAATCTGGAGGATGGTGGTAGTGTAGCTAATTCCAGAAAAATTGGGAAGAGGTGATGCTCATTTATGAAAATGACTTCAAGCTTTAGCTTGAAAACCTGTGATATTTCCATGCCCCTTGAAAACAACTGTTCTCTGGGCAAGGAGGTAGATCAGAGCTTCATGCAGATTTTTTTTTTTTAAGTAAGCTCTAAAAAACATGGAACGCATTACAAATTTGCATATCATCCTTGTGCAGGGCCGTGCTAATCTTCCGTGTATCATTCCGATTTTAGTATATGTGCTGCCAAAGTGAGCCCCCCTGTGCAGATTTTACGTAGAACTCCACAGATGATAACTGAGCCAGGCAAGGAGTTCCTATGCTTTTTTTGGCCATTTATTTCCCTAATGACCCCTGCCTAAACTCTTCCGTGTTTGGTTGAAGAGCGACACATCAGGATTATTGTCTCTTTTGATTTGCTCTGGGTGCCCCATGCACAAACTTGCAGACAACATCCCCATCAAACACTTCTCTACTAACTCTAGGATCTCTCTTCCTGAGTTAACCCATAAACCGACTGAATCATCAGCTCTGGCAAGGGTGGGTTGTGACAACTGGTTTCTTAATCCTGGCCACACTAGCCGCTGAACTGGTATCGGTAAGCTTGCACTTGACTTAGGAGAACTGAATTGAGCTGCTTATGACCTTCAAAGAGAATCAGTTAAAGAAGGTATCATGGGGCACCCAGGTGGTTCAGTGGTTGAGCATCTACCTTCAGCTGAGGTCATGATCCTGGGGTCCTGGGATCTAGTCCGGCATCAGGTTCCCCAAAGGGAGCCTGCTTCTCCCTCTGCCTATGTCTCTGCCTCTCTCTGTGTCTCTCATGAATACATACATAAAAATCTTAAAAAACGGTATCACAACAATTAAGAATATATAAACATATATTAGGTAGATATTTAGATAATGCACACATTAAGCAAAGCACTATTTCTATTTAATGACAAAAGCAGAATCAACTATGCACCTGAAAACACTTCATAATTGTTTAGTTTATCAATTTAACCCACTGACTTCAATTTTCCAACCTTACACTTGTAAGGAAGGCATTAATGTTGAAGATTATAGTGATATCCAGTAGAGAATACAGTAATAAATAATTTAGCTTCTTTATGCTTTAGTTGCTTTCCTAAATTACTTATGAAACAGCAACAAATACTACTGGTGCTATTGGGAAAGCTGACAGTATCCATTTCTTATTTAACAATGGAGTCATAAAAAAAGAGAGAGAGAAGGGAGGCTGGGAGCGAGAAACTCATTATTGTATTAAATACAGATCCTGGTATCTTGAGAAGCAGCATGTTTGATTTGGCTAAAGAATATCAAAAGCCACTAAGCAAGAAAAGGACATTTGTTGTAGCCAAAGTAAACAGTTTTTATTTGTTTTCCATATGCAAGCACATGAGTAGAACCCAGCATATTTTATATTTGTACATTTTGGGGAAACATGTAGAATTTTAGTCATCATAACATAAACCATGTCCCTTCTGCTACTTTATGTTTATTAACTGGGAGTGTTACATGAGCAAAGCATGTGGAAATCAGTGGTCCTATGACATTTCAGGACGCCATATGGAATTTGTCAAGGCCCAGACTGAAAGAAGTACACCTGAATTGTCTCAGTTGTGTGAAAATGTATTCTATAACTGTTTCCAGAATATGCGATTCAAATATCATAGTGACTTATCAAATATAATCCTTGTTGCCAGGGAATATTTCCTTGAGCCTTATTGACTTATTTTTTTTTTTTTATCTCACTAGAGATCACCATATCTCCCATCTTCCAGAAACTCTAAGATTTTCCCTCTCTCTCCAAAACAGGAGAGTTTTTGGAGACAAAACCCCTGCCCCTCAACATGAACATGATCAAATGCATGCATTTCTAAAGAGGGCTTTAACCAAAGATCAGAAAAATTGAGGGTGCTTTTTTTGAAATATTATTGCCCACATTCTAACAGTTATGCCTGCCAGACAAGATGTCTGCAGTAAACTTTATAAACCTCCATATTTTGAGAAATCAGTTGTGGATGTTAAGATGGAAGTAGAAGAAATTCATTTTAAAAAGTTACTGATAATGTAAATAAAGCCTTTAACAGTGCTTGGCACATAATATGTGCTCAATAAATACAATGTTAGCTATTGTAATTTTATTATTTGGGATATTCACAATTAATGACAAATGGTAACATGTATGTACATAAGTATAAATGTACACACAGATTTATGTATATAACGGGTATGTATAAACAGAGAAGTGCCTAACTTTTGTAATTGCCAAAAATAACCTTTGCTTGTGAATTAATTCATTGCCATTCGCTATTTGTTTTCCTGTTGCAAGTTGGAAAGGAGAACACCAGCAGAGGTGTGAAATGGCTCATTTATTTCAGTGAATTATTAACCCAGAAGACTTGCCACAATTATTCTAATCAGAGTAGTGAAGCAACTCTGGCCATTGAGGAAACACCAAATCAATGAATTTAAATCGTGAAACATGCTGCCCAGTGCCACCTTAATCACAGAATAATAAAACCTTAGGATCAGAAGGGCCTTCAGAAACAAATAATGAGGGATGCCTGGGTAGCTTAGTGGTACAGCATCTGCCTTTGCCCTGGGACGTGATCCTGGAGTCCTGGAATCGAGGCCCACATCAGGATCCCTGCATGGAGCCTGCTTCTCCCTCTGCCTGTGTCTCTGCCTCTCTCTCTGTGTCTTTTATGAATAAATAAAAAAAATCTTAAAAAAATAACAACAACAACAAAAAAAAATCATGAGAGACCCGAAACTATATATATAGAGAGAGCACAAACTGAGGGTAGATGGAGACAGGTGGGTGGAGGATGGGCTGGAGGGGGGGGTGGGCATTAAATAGGGCACTTGTTAGGAAGAGCACCGGGTATTATATGTAAATGACAAGCCACTGAACTCTACTCCTGAAACCAATGTTGAACTTTATGTCATCTAACCAAAAATTAATTAAAAAAGAAAAAAAAGAAGAAGAAAAAGGGCCATCAGATGTCATCCAGCATAATGTCTTCATCTTACAAGTGAGGAATCTGGGGCCCAAAGAGGTAGGGTGACTTGCTGGAGCACATAGTTGGTATCAGAAGAGTCATTCCAACATTGGGCTTTTGTCTCCACATCCAGGCTCTGCTCAGTCTCATCTGTATGGTATTTCTCTCCCTCTAAAAAAATAAATCTATCTAATTGCACTGAGTCTGTGTGAAGCCATTACAGCTGGATTTGCCTCGTTGGCCTCTTGTGGGTGACAGCCTTGTTAGCCTTCAAATATTGAGAAGATGGATTATGATTTAAGATCACTGAACCAAAGGGGCCCCAACAAGTATCCTTTTAACCTCACCTTTTCTGATCTCCTATTGTCGATATCCAGGATATATGGGTGCACATCACTTCACTTTAGAATTAAAACGTCCACTATTTGGCTTTTGTTTTCCAAGTGTATTTTTAAATGAAGCCTTTGAAACAGATCACAGGAATCTCTTTCTTATATCTAGATAGGCTCCACATCCAACATGGAGCCCTATGTGGGGCCTGGACTTATGACCCTGAGATCAAGATCTGAGCTGGAAAAAAAAAAAAAAAAAAAGGCCTGAGCTGAGCTAAGAGTTGGATGCTTAACTGACTTAGCTACCCAGGCACCCCTAGACATGGCCTTTTTAGTGAGAATTATTGATTAGTTGGAGAAATCACTTGTCCCTGATTCCAGTGTTCAGGATACATGATCCAGATGGCGAAATTAGCTTAAATCCACACAGGCAGAACCCACAGTGGAGTGGGGCTGGAGGTTCCTGAACACAGGATTTGGTCTCCTTTACATTTGTTTCTCCTGCACGAAGCACAGTCTTGCTTGGTACATTGTAGGTACTCAATACAGTTAGTTGGACAAATTAATGAAAGAATAAGCAAATTAAATTTCTGGTTCTCCAAACTTTCCATAGGAAGAGAAGAGTAGCTTCACCTGAAGACAGGCATTTGTACTCTGAAGTTGGGTTTCCCAAACTTGATGGGCTGTTGGCTACTTTGGAGAGACCAAGAAACCAACCAGCCAGACAACCAGAAAAACAAACATTTTTTTCAAGACTTTTCCATCCACTTTTGGTAGCCACTACGAAGCACATTTCCATGCCTAAAGGGACATCCTTGAACTTCAGTGGATGACTTCAGAATGCACCCCTGCACCCCTCTACTTCCTTCAGAATGCTATGCTATTCTGAGATGCTGGCCTCTGTCTTTTGTTCATTACAGAGGCCAGTTGACCAGCTACTTGTAGCATCTTACCTTTTTCAGACCTAACTATGGGAAAGCCCACATCCAAGTTTCTCACCTTAGCAGGTTTTTGCGTAGTCTGGTGTTCCCATGAAGAAAAAAATGAACACTTGTTTCCTTTTACTTTTTTAATTTTTTTAATTTTTATTTATTTATGATAGTCACACACACACACACACACACAGAGAGAGAGGCAGAGACACAGGCAGAGGGAGAAGCAGGCTCCATGCACCGGGAGCCCGACGTGGGATTCGATCCCGGGTCTTCAGGATCGCGCCCTGGGCCAAAGGCAGGCGCCAAACTGCTGCGCCACCCAGGGATTCCAACACTTGTTTCCTTTTAAACAATTCTTTGGGGTGCCGGTGGCTCAGTCAGTTAAGGCACCCAACTTTTACTTTCAGCTCAGGTCTTGATCTCCGTGTCCTGGGATAGAGCCCTGAGTTGGGCTCTGTGCTTGGTGCAGAGTCTGCTTGGGACTCTCTAAATAAATAAATAAATAAACAAATCTAAAAAAAAGAAAAAGGAAAAGAATTAAACAGGGCTGCCTGGGTGGCTCAGTTGGTGTATGCCTTTGGCTCAGGTCATGATCCCAAGGTCCTGGTATTGACTCCCACATCAGACTCCCCCCTGAGGGTGGGAGTCTGTTTCTCCCTCTGCCTGTGGCTCCCCCTACTTGTGCTCTTGTTCTCTCTGTCAAATAGATAAATAAAATCTTTTTAAAAAAGAAATTTAAAAAAAGAATTAAACAATTCCTCTTTAATAAAGCCTTTGCCTCTCTGTCATTGGAATCCCAGCCAGCCTGACTTCTGATTAAATTTCTCCATTAAGTGGTGGAAGATGGTTCAGAGTGTATGCTGCTTGAAAGATGGCCATTCAGACAACCATGTGTTGTAAAACTATTTTGTGCATGTGGCCCACTCGTAGGGAAAGGCATTCCAGCACAGAGTATGTGTGTGTCAGCGCTGGCAAGAGACC